TATAAAATTATAATATAAAATGAATATATGAATTTGATATATATATATATCCACGGACAGCTATCTGATAATGATGAAGGTCAAAGTGGAAGGGATAGTATAATAAATTCAATGTAAATATACCAAAGAGGGATGACTGGAAATACTGTTTTTAATAGTTGAACTCTTGTTGGGAATTATTACGTTTGCCGCAGCAAACGTACTTCTAATGTACTGCAGCGTGATGGTTCGAATATGAACGCTGAATGGCGCGATGATTGGTTTGTCCACACTCGGACTGTTCGTGTGAGCACGTGCTTACTTGACGTTATGGTTGGTAATGTGGGCGCGAAATACGCAACTCTTGTTCATTGAGATAATACTCAGGTCGCAGCAAGCGAGCTATACTCCTTGAGTATCGGCGTATTGTACTGCATGTTCCTTGGGAAATAAGAATTCGTAGTGTTCTTGCGTCATTATAGAAAATGCTACGTGTTGCGTCTGCTAGTAAGCAGTTGGTGAATTAGATTCAAGAGCGGCAGACTCGAGCTAAGGTGAGGGTAGGTCGATAAGTAACGCGCAACTGGCGCGAAGACTTGGCGACAAATGCTGTACGTTAATCCACACTGTATATATATATATATATATATATATGTTAGAGAATGTAAGAAAACTCCCAGCTCATTAGATATTTGAGAAATTCGAAATAAGAGTTCCGAAAAAAGCGAACTCTCGACTACTCGAGGAATAAACATTCAAACTCGCCTCGGATTAACTAAATATGAACAATTCAGCAAAATTTCGAATATCAAAAGAAAAAACAATTCATAAACACATCTGGCGAGAACAACAATTCAATGTGTCCAGCAAAACACGTCATAAAATTAATGCTACGAGACATTTGACACGGCCTCGCCACAAAGCATCGATCGACCATAAGTCATAATACTTCTGACATAATCAAGTCATAAAATATAAGCAAAAACCACCTCGTCTTACATCCGAAAAAGGGATATTAAAGGCAACACTGCATGCAGACGCTGTAGTCAAACCCATCTACATGTGGCTCAGATAGTGAAGTGAGAACGTGCCAAAGAAGTCCCCCTCATGGTGGGGATGCCAGTAAGAAGCGCTCTGATTGGAGACGTCAAGAAGCAGGAAATTCATAAGGACCACGCGGTGGCCGAGAATGCCTTCAAGAAAGACGCCCGCAAGGCGCACAATAGTCACTTCTCACCAGAGAAGCCGGCAAGGCTTCTTCTCCAAGGGAACACCAAATAACAAAGATGTAGACATACACAGTAAAGGCCGATTAAGAGGCAAAGCCTAGTCATATCCAACTCATAACAAGTGCAAGATAATTGCAAATAAAATCATACACTCGCAACAGTGCAAGACAAGGAAAAAGGAACAAGCAAACAGTGGTGCATAAGGCACAACATAATCACAACCTATAAGGAGCCGCTCGAGGCAAACTCAGCAAACAATACGAGGTATAGCCAGCAAAACACAAAACACAACACAAAAACACAAAAACACAAAACACAACAACTGCAAGCTACCGCACGAGGCACAACGTGAGCACAAGATCTGCAGAACTCACAAGGTAAAAGTTCCATTCCTTAATAACGATAATAATACACAATATACCTCACAAGGTAAAGAACTGTACAGCGACCAAGCTCACGCAAACGCACAAGGGGCAAGTTTAGTTTCCACAAGAAAGCACCAAAAACGCACCTACAGAGCCTTCAATATAAGCAATAAGACAATAGCAAGGCAAATTCAAGTTACTGCCATGTGCCACTACACAAGGAAGCACGGGGGTTTACGACCTTGTTCTTCTACGTGTATAACTCCACCACCACGTGCATTACATATAGAGGACCAGAAGGCTACGTCCTTCTTCCTGTACATGCAACGCACGTTACAGCTCTGTGGCAATAGCAATACAAAACTCAAGAAACCAAGACATTCAAGCATAAACTAAAAATCATTATAATACAACTAATGCAATTATCGCAATAAACTAAAACAAATACCAATGCTATTTATTATTGAATACATGCACTATCCTGTCCATTTGCCCGCAATCCTCCCTCCCACCATCTGGGAGTTTACAGCTAATTCTAGATATTTGGCCCTCCTAGCTCGATACTCTATTTTTAGACAATATATATATATATATATATATATGTAGTTAATGTACATAGTTAGTATATGTAGTTAATATAAAATTGAAAAATAATTTTTATAATAAATTATAGAATATCTGAGGAATTCACAAAAAAAATTTGAAATATTAAAATTTAATGTAATATGCTTGAAAAAATACTTTCATTATTAAAGTAAGTTGTTTTGCTGTAAGATATTTTAATGCCATTTAAAATGAAAGAAATATGAAAAAGAACATTAAGAAATTGAGTTTAAAAATCAAGTCAATTAACAGAATATCAATTATTAGATTTGTTACGGATTGAAACAGTTGAAAGCGGAATACAAAAGTGGGGGAGGCATGAGCTCCCGGATAGTGTGTTTATAAACATAAGCCATCGAATTCGAGAAATGTTTCTACGCTGAAAACTCGAATATACGGTTATAATTCCAAAAAATAATGCTAATGAACCTTCCAAGGCTATGCCCTATTGACGCCACGACAAATATTGGCATAGCAACAAACATCGGATCGCTACCGGCGTCGCAAACTACCACGAGAATATTTACAGTCAACGCGACGGGCTCACTATTCAATCTTCAAGCTTCGCTCTACAGTCATCACTCGCTGTAACGATACACGCATGTAATACTCAAACAATAAGCAATCTAACAATTCAATAGTGATGCCACATTATCAGAATCCGTTAACCAAACTTAAACTAATAAAGCGCTAGTGCTAACATAATTGAGAGTGAAATGATCGAAATTATACTACACATATTAACAGATCACATCGACACTAAGGTAGCAGAAAATCGGTCCCCTTTAGAAAGCTTCGGTACGACAGCGGCAGCTCTTATACACCGACACTAAAGTAGCAGCGACCCGGTCTCGCTTAGACAACTTCGGTACGACAGCGGCATTTCTCGGCAGGGAAGGAGTCACTCTTCACGCCAAGGAGAGTACACACACTCTCCTCAGCACGTAACACAATTGAAGAGTTTCCCCAATTTATTCATTCACATCCTTATTCATACGCTTATGATCATTAACTATTTATTATATTATTATATTTAATAAAGGAAAGACAAGAAAGCCTGCTTGTAGTATTGAATAACTGCATTGCTCCTGCTACTTGCTAGCAACCCCTCCACCCATCATCAAAGGGAGTTTTTTTAGACTGATCTCAGACAAGATTTGTTAGTGCGTTCCTATTTAGCTTGAGAAAATAAGAATAACACACTGACAATAATTAGTGGGTCACCCGAGAATGAGTGTATACATAAAAATGATAAAGAAGCTAAAGAACATGAATAGTCGATATAAACAGCATAAAAGAATAAATTTTTATTTTTATTTTAAAAATATTGATATAATAAAGTTATTTAAAAATCTCATGCTAGCAATTATTTTTCTATTATGATATGAAAGCTAAATTTGGATTCATCCTAAAAAGATGACGACTCAATGCATTTCAAAAACTCCGTAAAGATATATGTAATAGGTAAAATTATTTAAATTAAGTATCATAAAATATTTGTAATTGCTAACAAAAGATACAGAAATTATAAGAAAAGATAATACGTATTGTTCGGGATTGACGCAGTTTCCACGAATATCAGACAAAGAAAGGCACGCGTACTGTACGACGAACGGCACGTACGCTCGGGCGAATGTTTATAAACACAACTCGACAAAGCCGAGCAAGATTTACGACATGAAATCCAATATACTATAAGAACAAACAAAGGAAGAACGCCTACGAAACTTATAGAAGCTTCGTTTTCTAACGCCACAAAGAAGTTTTCGGTATAGCGATAAGCGGCGGCACTGTAGCCGGCGTTGCATCCTGCTGCATGTATATTTAAGGGCAGCTCGCCATGCGGCGATGCTAAGTCAATTAAAAAATATTTTAATAAGCTGTTATTAGAAACGTCTGATGTATTATTATGTTTCATTACATAAAAAATTGGCATTCAATAGTATAAGTTTCTTTAAACTTCGTTAGATTAGGTTATTAGCCCATAGATAAAAAAAATATCACACATTTTATTATAAGCATGTTCACATATGTCATTTAAAAATTAGTAAATTGTATATTAGTAATTAATAATACTATCACTACAAAAATTTAATTCATATGCAAACTCACAGATATAAAACAACAATGGGAACTTCTGAAATAGCATAACTATCTAGGTGTAATTAACATACTTAGCATACTTAACAAGCTATAGTTAATTAATTTAGTAAAGGAATTGGCAAAACAATATGTCTAACAAAGAAATATTTATTTTAATACATAGTTTTTTAATTTTCAAGATTTCTATCATACATAAATATAAGATGATAGAATTATTTAAAATTTTGAATAAGTTATAGAAACTGCTTTACGATTCTGGTAATATTTAAATAAAATTTTAGAAATTACGAAATAATAATTAAAATTAAATAGATTTAATTTCTAATTATAATAAAAAAAATATATAGATTTTCCATCATGTAGTATTTTATATAAAATTAAATTAATATATGATTATATTAAAACAATACCATACCAGTATTATAGAAAAAATACAAAATTATCTGCAAATTTATTAAATTTTATTGTATTTTATTAATATCATTTAATAGTATTTAAAGATATTTTATCAAATCTATTCTTAAGTAGATGAATTAAAAATATATTAGATATAAAAAGGAATATTGAACAATTTAATAATAAATGCTGTAAATTTTATTGGTATAGATCATAAACGTTGATTAAAATACTAAAATGAATTATTATAATTATTTTTCAACATAGTTTTTTTTTCCTTGTAAAAGATCAAATAAATACTTCAATTTAATAAATGACTGTACAGAGGTCCAGCACAATGTGTGCGCACTGGTACAACAAAGTTACATGAGCCAGAGTCTGGATATCAGGATCGTGTCATTGTTGAGCGTATTAAACACCCAAATTATACGCCACCAGCACGTTACCATGACATTGCCCTACTTAAATTAGAGAAGTCTCTGGAGTTGAATGCAGCAGTGCGACCAGCCTGTCTTGATATCGATTCCCAACTCATCGGTACTTCAGCTATTGCTAGTGGTTTCGGTAAAACCGTTTTCGGTTTGTATTTACTTTCTTCCTGTTTTTAAACATGAACTTTAATAACAAGGTGCAAGCTTATATAAATATATAATACTTATTTAATTATTATTTAAATTTTGTTAATGTAGATTTGTTCTTTTTTCTAGCTATTATGAAAAAGCATATGTTTAGAAATTACTAACTTAAAAATTAATTATTTTGAATGAATGAATTATATTTTGAATGAATTATATAATATTTAATTAACTTAATCGTAGACGGAACTTTAATTTCAATCACTTTTTAATTACTTATGTACCACTATAATCTTGTACTCTCTGTATCAACTGCTCAGATATGCTTTTTGATATTTTTGCAATGACAACTGTTATAAAAAAAAGAAAACTTTAATATTAACGGAATATAATAGTAAAAAAGTATCTTATATTACAAAATAAATAAATAATAGAAAGTAATTACCTATCAAATTTATAACTTACCTAATACTTTTACATAATAAGCGCCTATGTGTATTAATTAAATGCAACCATAGTAATCTTAATAACGTAACTAAACGAGTGTATTGATTACAAAAGCATGGGCGCCGCTTTTATGAAGAATATTGTATAACTCTATTTGATTCTATTTTTTATATTTCATTGTTCGTGTAAATGTTTTACAACCTCTTCTGGTTTCTCTCAGTAAATAAAAATAAACTGATATCTTTATGTATAATCTTGCCTAATAGCTTTATATTTTATAGCAATGAATTCGATAAGTGGTTAACCACGACTAAATTATTTTTTTTTATCTTTTCGATTCCGCAACCATCTTATTAAATTTTTAAATGATTGATTTATTTTTTATTCATAGAATTTTTTAAAAGAAATTTAAAAATACAAATATTTTCAAATAACATATTGCCTACAAATTATGTTAAGTTACAAAAAAAGTTTTAATAGACTCATTGTTAAAATATATTGTAATTCATCATCCAAAAGAAAACTAGCGTACAAAGCTATATTTATTTCCATTTTCTATTAATATATCATTTAATATATTTAATTAATTAATTTAAAATAATAGTACAGTAATAGAATATTGATAATTTATTTAATAGAAAATGAAAAGGGTAGTAATGAATTGATGAAAGTTCAGCTAAATTATATCTCAAAAGAAGACTGTGAGAAAGCTTTCAAACTTGATTTGGGCACTAATCAGTTACCATCTGGATTCATACCAAATATGATATGTGCTGGTATATTAGACGGAGGAAAAGATACATGTCAGGTATAATATTTTAGAACAGTGTATAAAACAATTTTTATTTATACCGAAATTTTAATACAACTTTTATTGAAATACGAACAATAATTTCTATATTTCATAAATATTATCATGATATTTTATTATTGCATACTAAAGTGTTGTAATATATTTATAATTGGAATAATTCTCCGTTAACAAATATTTTAAAAAGATTAAAATAATTTAAAATGGAATTAAAATTAAAAAATTGTTCGATAAAATAAAAAGATTTGTATACATTATATTATATTAGTAAATATAAGATAATTTATAAAATATCTTTTACAAATCATTTTAATTAAATAAATTACAATACTTTATATTTAGAAATATTTAAAATATTATAGTTATTTTATAATTTGATATCAAGAATCAAAATATATTATATAATATTTTAAATAAGATTTAAGTAATGATCAATAATTAATAATATAAGCATTTCTACACATAGTTATTGCAATTATCTGAATTATTTTTACTGTTTTATTATTAGTTACTATTATTATTTTTTTTTTAAATAATGGTTTTTAATATAAAAAAAAATTGTTATTGATTGAGTAAAAGTTAAAAATGTGTATAAAAATAAGCTACAAAATTAAATAATCTGCTAGTATTTAAGTTACGAAATTAATTATAAGTTCATTAACTTTTTTCATTTAATAGTGAATTTGTTATATAGTAATCATAATCTTACAGTTATTAAATTCAACGCAAATATGTATGTATAATATCTTAATCAACTAATAATATAACTTTTATCATTGTTAATATTTTTTAATGAAAATATTTTTACTAAAAATCATGAATTGACTTTTTTATGTTTATTATTTTCTTAAAAGTAATAAAATCAGTAAAAAATGTCAAGTATATAAATCTACAGCACATTATATTATTTAAAATTAAAATTAGATTATAACTATAACTCTTATCATTTATATAGTATAAATAAAAATTAGAAAAATATATAAATTCTATTTATATTAAAATTCTATATGAGAATATATTAAAATCAACTTTTGATAGCTATATTAAAAACTTATTTTCAGATATTTTATAAAACTTGTTATAACGTGCAATGAATGAATTGTTTATTGTTTTTTAGGGAGATAGTGGAGGACCATTGCAACGTATTATTAACGAACCTTATTGTATGTATAGCCTTGTTGGAGTAACGAGTTTTGGTAAATTCTGTGGCTTCGAGAATTCTCCAGCAGTATATTCAAAAGTTAGTTCATATACTGACTGGATCGAAAGCATTGTTTGGCCAGAAAATTAAATTATATTTTCAGTTTTTATAAATATATTTTAATATTAAAAGAACTAAATTATATTTTTAAAATATTTAATTATTTTTCAATGGATACTTGAAATGCTGAAATTTTCGTAAATAATTTATTAACTTCAAACATTTTTAAATGGTTTCAAATACATATTAAAATTATAGATAAAACCAAAATATCATTGTATTGTATCAAGTGTCATACAAAATATATTATGGTTGGAATGTAATATAATATTATTAATAAAAATCAATATTAAGCTAAAAAAATTTGTATTAAATTTTAATCAAAACTAGGACATAATGATAAATAATTATATTAAATATATTATTTCGTTTTGTAGAAAAAAATATTTATGTAGATAATTAAAAAATTGAGGATTTATGAATCTTTAAAAGGAATAAATGTAATTGAAATTATAATTTAAATAAATACTTTGTTACATTTTATTTGGTTTTCATTATTATTTCCTTTGCCAGATTCAACAACTAAATTATAATATTAATAAATTTAATCTAATTAAAGTTAAAATATAATTGTAAACGCCATTTCTAAATTTATTTTCATAATTAGCAATATATTTAATAAACCATACGTAAAAATGATATAAATTACTATACGATGATTTTAGTGATTAAGTATTGCTTTTAAATATAATATATGCACTAATAGAAATAACATTATATTCTATAAAAATATCTACCTTACTTATATATAAGTATCTTTATTTTAACCCATCCACTTTTACTTGGTCATTGTTCGAAAGTTGTAGTGATGTAATTCTTGGTTCGAACTGCCAATGCTTCAATAGCTCAGTTTGCCGCCCGCCCTAGCAGACGCTCGGGAGGAGGGGCTCTACAAGAGTCGTGAGAGTTGGGCAATTATATATTTATTATACAATTTATTACACAATTTACAAATGGATGTTGTATAATCTTCTTGAATCTTATATGAAGATACGATTTCTTGATTGGCTTCTTATATAGGAGGTGTCACTACACAAGATGCCTTGAAATTGTTGAATTGATGAAAATTGCACAGATAAATAATTACTGCACACTTCTGGTTGGAGAGTGTGAGATAATCTTGTTGATTGTTTTATGCCGGTTCTGCCGCCGGCTGACAATAATTGAAGAGAAAATATGTATCAATGTACTTACAGCGATGTCGTAATTTAATCTCTGATTCAGGGATGAGTTGGACACAATTGCACGCAGCAAAGTGACTGCGTGCAGCGTGACTCTTATATTCACAAGGATGCACTATTCTTGATCTGATCAACCGGTGAGAGGGATACAAATTATGTGCGACGTGACTCTTATACTCACCAGCACACACTGTTCTTGCCTTGAATTACTAGCACTTATTCCTGCGTTGAGTTAATTTTTAGGCTTGGTTTCCTTGGACAATTAATTTCTATTACTTGACCTTTCCTAGACTACTCACTCTCACTCTGTGTGATTTGTCTTTTTCGGAAGAAAGGCACTTGGTTGCCCGCGCGGACTGCGTATTCCAATAATCCCCCGCGAACAGCGACTTTTCGCTGCCTTGTTCCCATCTTTAAGGCCTCTTGCCATGAGTCCCCACTCAAGGAGCTTCTGGTCTTAGTTTTCCAATCAGGGCGCGCCGCTTTTCGGCGGCATGATGAATGTGCACGCCCTTTTCCCACTTCATAAGAAATTAGGCTTAGACAAAGAGAATATCGAAGGAGTATCTCTGGCGGCAATGCGTGAAGTGGAAGATTTGCCCCTGTTCGGGAGTCATCGTGGTGGGGGTGATTTTGGGTCAAGCAACATTTGTCGTACTTGACAACGATGCATGCGTATGCCCTTGTGGCATTGAAGGCACACGTGCGACGCAGAATGTCGAGAGTCGCGCGTGCTAAGTTTCGGGTTGCAACGGATTTTAAGAAATGTTTTTCATTCAATTGTTTTGAAATATTTTAATCCTCAAAATATACTCTTGTAAACAAGCTAGCCTGGTTTTGATGGTAAGTCGCAAGGGTCTTGATTGCATTCAAAACAATTACTACGTCTTTAATACGAAAGGCAATAAATGGCTGTTTACGAGTTCACAGATGTACAAACCTTTTCGAGTCTCATGAAACCTTAGCAAGACTTTCTTAGTTTTTCGTATCCGTTCGATGATTCCCTTTTTATTAGCTGTTGAAGTTTTTTCTAGTAAATATAATTCAAGAGATTTTCTTTTCACTCTCGAACAGTCATACGAAATCTTATTTAATAATGATATTTAATAAAAACATATTTATATTTGAATATTCAAAAATAAGATTGAATCATTGTGATATATATGAAGTTATAAAGTATAAAATCATTGTAAAGTATTAAATATAGATAATTTTAGGATTTCTTTCTTATAATCATACTAACTGAGACTTATATAAATAAAATATATTATAAACAGAGGCATCATGCACACGCTTTAATTAGTATACTTATTAAAAGTGATATAAACTTAAAATATATTGTTCGAAAATGTAGTTTTCATGGCTCGATCTGCCAATGATTCTATAGCTTATCTTCGCCGCCCGCCGTAGCAAAGGCTTTGGAAGGAAATAAGTGGAAGGGTTATAAAAAATATAGTTCGTTTTCGATGATTATAGTTTATTTACATTTTATTTATAATTACATTATTAATATATTGGATGTATCCTACTTTTAATTTTACAAAGATTGCTTGGAACGGTTCTTGTGATGGATGTTTCACTATACAAGATGCTCCTTGAAATGTACAATTTCCTGTTGATTTTGTAAGGATCAACAACTGAGTGGCACGCTTCCATTTAGCGAGTGCCTGATCAGCCTTGATCTGATTCTGCGATGGATAGCTCACTGTTATCCCAGTCTCAAAAGGGTTGGCGATGGCAATGTGGTAATTATTTGTATTCCTTTATCGTGGCTGTATTTATCAGTAAGTTAACTATTGTTGCTTTGTTCTTGGCTTCTCTACTTAGACAGCGCTTGTGTCTGTGTCGTTCTCACTCAAGAAACACCTATCCCTTTGTTTCTCCTATCAGAGCGCGCCGCTTCAGGTGGCACGACTGAGTGTGCGCGCCTCTGCCTTCCGATTTCAGAAGGAGTTAGGCTTTAACAGTGATAACATCGACAAGAGCGCCTCTATCGGCTGCACCGTCAATTGGGAGGCTCACTCTTGCACCTCGCGACGAGATGAGCTCCTGGTCAAGCGTCGCCGCTTGGCTTGTACAAGCGGCAACATGTGGAGTACTTGACAACAATGTATGCGTAATATCTCGTGACATTGTAAACACTCCGTGTGATGACTATTGCCCGATGTCGAATGAGCTGCGTTTCCCAGAACTGTAGCTACAACGATTTTAGGAAATGTTTATTGACTCGATTGTTTACATACATGACATTCTCGAATTGGTCTTCAAATCTCGCACGAATAGTCCCGCGACATCCTACTGCTTGACACTAAGGGGGCCAATAATTGAGCGACCTTTCTGAACCTCTAACGATCGTTCAGCAATTCTTAAAAGTTATGACTAATAAATAATTTCCTTGAAATCATAGCCGTGGCAATTTTCCCAAATAATAATATTCAAGGGATTCTCTGAATCTTGAACATATATTGTTAAGTAATTTAAAAAAAGGTTAGATGGCACAGAGACTTAATTCCTATATAGGAAATTTCGCTCAGAAAAATTAAGATTCATTAGAATCATGTACTTACGAATTATTAATATACTAAATGGGTTAATAAATAAAATTTTTTTGTTATCATTATAATAAGCACAATTGGTTATTATTACATACAATAAAAACTTTAATTCAATTAACTATAATCGTTCATATAAACATAATTATTTTCTGATTTTCAATTTGTTCGGGACACTTAATAACTCACGGTATAAATTAACTGGCGGAAAGCTCCCAGATGGTTGTTGGCCGGATTGCCCGCAAGTGTAAGGGATAGTGCATGTATTTAATAATTAACACTGAATTTGTTACTTGATGTTTATTGCTATTGTCCTTTAAAAGTACACTTTAATCGTTCGAAGTTAATGGAAGGAATCTTAGCTCTCTTGCTGTTCGCTTATGATTGCCACGTGGTGGTAACGTGCACTATATGTATAGGTAAAAGGTTGTAATTCTTCTGGTCCTCTTTATGTGGTGCGCTTGGAAGTGTAACTGTACACGTAGAAGTGTGAGGGTGTAAATCTCAGCGCTTCTTCGTGTATTGGCACGTGGTAGTAGCTTGAGTATTGCTTTACTCTTAGCTTATTGTTTATCTTGTAGGCTCTGCAGGTGTGCTCTTGGTGGCACTTAATCTTGGTCTGCAGATGTTGTCGGGTACGGCACCTTGTATGTATTATCGTTAATAAGAATGGAACTTTACCTTTATGTTCTGCAGGTTTATGTGGCGTTAATGGCACCTCTTCCTGTCTGTATTACTTGCCTCGTGTGGTATCTTGTAGGTTATATTTATGTTGTACTCTGAGCACTACTGTTGCTTGTTCCCTTTTCCTTTCCTCGCACTGCTGGGAGTGTATTATGCACTTATTTTGCACTTATTATGAGTAGGACACCTGCCTGGGATCAGACTAAAAAACCTCCTTTCGATGGTAGGTGGAGGCTTGCTGGCAAGTGGAAGGGACAATGCAATTATTCAATACTGCCTTTAATGTTTAATGTCTTTCCATTTATTAAATATAATAAATAATAAATAGTCAATGATCTATAAATGGCTTAATGAATGTGAGTTGTTTCTTCAATAAATGTTGGTGGCGATAAATCTGTAAGTGTATTCTTGATAGTCGGGAGCGTAATTCCTCTTCTCCTTATGAGTTGAGTAGTTGTAACGGGAGACTCGTGCTAGTAGGAGCAGCGAGTTGGTGCCGCCTTAGCTGCTGGAGTAGGGTAAGGGCTGTAGTGAACTGAGTGATGGGGGACGTCTGTGTGACGTCACTGTTTGTGTATGTGAGATCAGACATAGTAGTGGTATTGGTGTACGTTCGTGGTGTGTTG